TGGCAGGGGGTTGGAAGTAGATGATCTTTCAGGTCCTTTCCAGCCCAATCCATTCTATGATTCTATAACCTTCGGCAGAGAGAGAAGCGGGATCTGAGAGAGACAACTACACAGACATGGAGGTCAGTGAAGAGACAGGAGAGGAAGGAGGTGCCCTGCAGCCTGGTGAAGACTCATGGTGATGCCTGTTTGTCCCTTGAGCAGTTCATTAGAAGAGGTAAACCCATGCCAGAGCCAAGCCGTTGTCAGGGGACTGTGGCCCCGTGTGGGAAGGACTCACGTTGGAGCAGTTTTTGAGAAGGACTCTCCCATGAGAAGGGACCCCACGCTGGAGCAGGGAAAGACTGTGAGGAGCCCTCCCGTGAGGAGGAAGGAGCGGGCGGGCTGACTCCCTGCCCCCCTGCACCAGCCGGGGCGGGGAGAAGGTACAGAACAAAGCCTTTGGGCCTTGGGAAGAAGGGAGGGGTGGGGGAGAAGTGCCTTTCTCTCTCATTATCTTGCTTCTTGTTTTTGATTGTAAATAGTTAATAAATTCAATTGTGGGGTGTTTTTTTTTTTTGCTTTCCCAAGTTGTGTTTGGTATCTTGCCTGTGAATGTAAGTGGTGAGTGAAACCCTCCCTGTCCCTGCCCTCAGGCCATGAGGTTTTTAAACAAGAGGCTGTCTAGTGGCTTTCTTTTAAAACTATGACACTGATTTTACAAGACATAGGGATATTTGCACTTTTCTCCTGGAGGGAAGCAAATGTTTGAGTTACTTACAGGAAAAGTCTCAGAGAGTTTATGTGTTTCTTGAGATTATGTTATCTGAAGTCAACTGAATAAAAAAATACGGTACAATAAATAAGAACTACCTGAACTCAGAAACACAGGTTAAGGAAACTTTAGATATTAATATGCTTTTCATATTTCAAAGCTAAGAAAACTTGTCAATTGTCTCAGTTTTCAACAGAAATCTAAGTAGTTGAAGTGGTCAGGGAGACTTTATATGACTTGCTACATTACTAAAACACTTTACAGGAAACTAGTAGACCTGGAGTATTTTCCACTCCTGAATACACAATTGTTTAATTAGGAAATGTATTCAGTCATCTGTTTTCAATACCTTTATATTTTATTGTGTCAATGAAACTTTTTGTCCCTGAATAAATAATAGGGGAGTTTCTTAACATGAAAGCATGAATTCAGTGCGCACAAAACAAGACTGAAAAAAAAAGCCTGAAAAAAAATTAAAAATAATGCTGTGCAGACAGACTTAGAACAATTCTTTTAAATGAACTATTTTTCTCATTACCTCTCAGACATTTGTTAGTGGTAGGTCTAAAACGATCCAGATTTCCACATATTCTCATACCTCAGAGATTACAGCAGATATAGGCTGGAAGGGGTTTTCACAGTTCCCAGGCTCAGGATCTTCCTCATCAGGTATACTTCTTCCTTCTTCTTTTTCCCTTTGTTGTTGTTGTTGGGTTTATGTTGTTGTTGTTTTATTGTTTTGGGTGGGTTTGGTTTATTTTTTTGGGGCAGGGGGGAGAGGCGGGATGAACAAAAAATTATTAAGAAGTCATAAATTCTATAAAATAGAGAACACTTATTAGGTGATCTAACTCACCGTCCAATTAATGCCAGCTGATTTTTACAATATGCTTCTGTATTTTGAAAAACATTCTACAGAAATCATGATGACAGGCTAACATCAATAAAACACAAGTATATATTATGGCAGAGGTAGAAACACATGCTGTTATGTGCCAGAATGTTCAACCAGCACTTCAGAAAGTGGAAGCAGTTTCTGAGGACAGGATATGTGACCGAATACATCTGAAACTGGAAGCTTTTGATTGTTCAACAGTATGCTGAAAATTTCACACTAGTGATCTTTTATAACAATTGTTTCAAGGTATTCAATAATTGAAAAAAAATCCATGTGGTGGGAAACCAGACTGTCTAAAACCTCTTCTATTTTTAATACACCTCCATTTTTCATAATCCTAGATTCTTCTTAATATACGTAAGGGAGAACTGGTATTAGACTGTTCGGTTTATGTAGTAACAGTTAGAGAATCCTATTTGCTTCCACCAGACTCAGAAAAGTTCAGAAAGACACGTAATTCTCAGTATACTGTTGTTGTACCAGCACTAGTTATTTTTTATGTAACAGATCTCTATATAAGAGATATTACTTTACTATGTATAAAATAATATATAATTTTAATAAAATATATGTTCATCAGACATTTTTCATCAATTGATCTGATGGTACTTGGATATAGGAAGTCACTCTTACACCTACTTTACAGCTGCAAGTACTGAGAGAGGAAGTAACCCAGTTGTTCAGAGGCACAGATGGGAATGAAAAGGAGGTCACCGATCTACCCAGGAAACCATACTACTTGTAAGGAATGGCCAGTACTGTGTTAAAATGCATAGCCACTACTCCTCTCTGGTTTTCCATTTGGAACAAGGTCATTGCTACTAACATATTGTGGAGGAAATGCACTTTAAGAAAACATTCAGGGAAAACAATCTGAATGAAAAGCAGTCTGGGAAATTATTAAAACACATAATGAAACAGAATTACACTTGCATCAAGAATAACCTGTTTTTTACAGTAAGAAATTGATTTGAGGCAGAAGAGCAAAACGAGAGTTAATGCCATCTCCTATATCTGAGACAAGCTCTCAGCTACGGGTAAAACCAGCAGAAGTTACTAGTTAGCTTTCCTCTAAGACACAAGGAGTTTAGCAAAACTTCTAAGCTTTTATTCCAATTTAGGCCCAACCAATTCTTCTGATGAACAAATACAATCAAGATCACTGAGCAGGAACAGATATACGGAAAATGCCCATATCATCAGACAGTCTCTTTGAGACTTGTTTCAAAGTCATTCCTCCTTGCTACGCCTCTCAGCATGGCATAAACCCAACGCAATCCAACATGGTCAGAGGGTTTTGTCCGTGCAGAGACATCTGTCAGACTAACAGCATATGAATTTTTTTATAAGTTTGTGAAATATGTACGAAGATCATGTCAAATTCCAGGTGTTTAAAATGTGCTTAAGTAATTTACTTGCTGAAGTAAACCAAATCAGCAAGAGTACAAGCCAAGACACTTCACAGCAGATTCACAGTTATTTCTCACAGTAACTGAGACTCGCAAACATCTGCATATATAAGGCAGACAGGGGTATGGGGTGCTTGGCAAAATTCGTAAGAATGTCCCTGTAAAATGATTCACATCAGTCTCTAATAGGAACCATGGTGGGCTGCTGATGAGCACAAAGGGCTTTGAAGGGAAGTAATAAACCACCTATCCTGCTTCCCCTCCATGCACCAGCTTAAATCCCTCCATGCCTCATCTGCTGGATGCCCTGAAGTTTATTAGTGTTGAAACATGGTCTTGAACAGCTTCATATCTAGTCTTTGATATTCAGATCTGGGTTACGAAGTCTAAATTAAATTAATAAAAGTTTATTTTAGAACACACTTGAAGTTTACTTACTATTAAATGACAGGACTTATTCTTTAGGTTAGCCTCCTGTGAAGTTATATATGCAAGGCCTAGTTTATTCCCTAACTACCTTGCAATCCTCATTCATGCCACATTTCCAGCATAGAGTGAATAAAATAAAGGGGCTGAACCAGGCAAAAACTTATAGGTCTTTATAAATAAAGGCTTTAGCATTCAGGTCCTTATTTTTAATATGGAGGCTCTTTGACTTACAAGCTTTAAATCCTTGATAGCTTGGTTCCCATAAGCTCTATGTACAAGAATGAATCAAGCGTATTAGAGAAATGGAGGAAGGGGAGGTAGGAGAAATTACAGAGAAAATACCTTTCTTCTCGTATCCTTCTCACTCGCTCAGCTCGTTCTAGTTTCTTTTGTTCTTCATATGCTTTTTGTTCTGCAGTGTCTCTTTGGACACGCTCATTTAAGGCATCAAAATCTTTTGCTATGATATGTAGAAGCCAATATAAACCCTTTTTTATTGATTTATCAATTTTTTTCCCACAGCCCATGACAGCTGAGCAAGGTTCCTGTAAATATAAGGAGAAGAAGGAGGGGAAAATTATTTGCAGTTCAGATCACATTCCTTGACTGAAAACAAGAAATCAGACAAAGAACTGCTCTTTACTCTGAAGCTTGCAAAACACTGAGAAGTATACGAAATACATTTGCATATAGGTATTCTATAAATTTAGGTGCTTTTTTTGACACAACATAAATCACATTAGTTCTACCAAATTCCATTATTTGCAGTCCTTTTCCAAAAATACTAGAATACTGCACAGAAAAAGATTTGCATGTCTATCTCTAAATAGACATACATATATACATGTTACATATTCACCTATGTGCATATATATATATATTTGCACACCTGTTTCTATACACGTCCATATCTATGCATCTATATAGAAATATAATTTATCAACCTCATATACGTATGTTTTGTTTTGATGCTGCTGTGTAATAGTCTATGTTATATTTATCTAGTAAAATGGAAAAAAATTGGATGTAAGATAATCAGTTTAGCTTCAGTTCATGAAAGGAATGTTGAGACTGAATGTCTGAAATTGTCAGAAAAAATTTCAAACCAATTCAATTTTTTACATCAGCACAGGTATTGTGGATAGGGGTGCTTGACTGAAGTAAAACTTTTGTGATAATATTCTCAACACCAAGCAAGAGAAATGTGATCTAGGCAAATCTGTTGGAAGATGGGTGCAAAACCCATTGTTAAATTAGTTTGGAATACTTTATCTAGCTTGGATGCAACCCTTCAAGGAAGTGGATTGACTGGCAGGAATTGAGCAGAGTGAGAAAAAATCAGACAAAATTGGTTATGAACACACATCTGGTAAGAAAACATCAAGAGAAAAGGAGAGGTTCTTTTCTTGAGATGAAATAGCTTCAAGGAGATATGATAACAGCCTTCAAAACATAAGGCACAACTGCAAATAGGAAATGAATAATTTGCTCTTCATGTTCATAGTCAAGAGGACAAGTATAATTGGCTTTAATTGGAACAAAAAAAAATATTGCTTGATTCTAGCTTAGAATATTGAAAAGGACTAGATGACCTCTGAAGATCTCTTTATAACTATTTTCCAGATTGTTTTGGAGGACTGTATGGGTCTCCTAAACTGTTCTCTGAGTAACAATTGAATAGATCCAGCCATGTATTTGACATGAAGAAATGATACTTCATACTGTGTTCAGGTTTTGTGTTCATGAATGAAGAAAGACTGAAAAAACTAACTTCCCAACATCAAACTTAAACATTCAGTGTGTTTTCTCCTTATTTGACAAGCATTTGAATGGCACCATAGTCAGATATGGTATGTACTATTTACAACAGAAAAAAATAATTCTGTTATGTCCCCACAGAGTGCCAAACCTAGTTTGCATTTTAATACATTCCT